TAATTAAAATAATACCTCGTCCGTTCTTAATAAAAGTCCTAAAAAAGTCAACGTCAGACTCTTGAGCAACCAGAACGTTGTCAGAACGATAACACCATAAATTAAGGGTGTGTGCCAGTTGATGGTAATGATTTTCTGTAAATGACCTGCCAATCGGCCTTAAAGGGGCTGTGAGAACGCAAACACCCGAGTCCGAACTGTTTTAGCAGGTTCAAGCAAAGATGAGCCTACGACTGATGACACTCAGTTTGTTCTGTCGTCAGAGAACACGGCTGATTGGAGACAATCAGGAGAAGATAAAAAAGATAAAAGAGTCAATTGCAGAGAAACCAGCCGTTTTTGTTGCTATTTTTGTCCGGCTGTAAATCTTTTCCAAGCACACGGCAGTCGCGCTGGGGCCCGATGCTGATATTTCCCCGGGATGAGATGACATAAATAGAGTGTGAGAACGTATCCGATTAGCAGAGCCGAAGAAGCCCCTCTCCCCCCCCCCCCCCCCGAGTGACTTTATGCTGACAAACTCGCATCTCCGCGTGTCTCTGTTGCCGTTAGTCTCGGGCCCACACGCAGGAATTAAATCCAGGCACGTGGGGTCTGATGAGAGGTGGCAGGTATGTCATTTAATGAACAGGGAGGCCCGGCACGGGGCTTAAAATGCTGACTCGTGTTTCAGTATAATGCAATAAAGACGGCTGAACTTGCAGCTCTTGAGCGCTCCATTCCTCAGCGTTTACGGCCTGGCTGCATTGTTCAGCGTGGCAGAGGTGTCTTCAGATTGGAGGTGTGCGATTGATGCGATTGTCTGATGCTAATCTGCACGCGGCAATTAAGTGAAAGGGGTTTTCGGAATGCGAAACGGCCCAAATTCCCCATTACAAGCTCTCCATTACAAATCCTCATAAAAGCAGCCATGGAGGAGAAAAAAAGCCCCATGTGCTTTTATTTTTATTTGTCACTTTTTTCACCACCCGCCTCTTTGCTTTTATGTAAAATATTTATTGCTTTTGAACAATTATATCCTGTATTCATTCAATTCTGTCTCACTGTAATGCTTCTTGACACCTTTTCCAGCGCCTCTTTGCAACATTCTGGATAAACGCAGCTTTTTTTACTACATGATCATCGTTTTTTATTCCATCACTAGGTTTTGCAAAGCACAAAGGCCCACTAGCCTGCGTCGAATGAGCTCAAGTACATTAACAATTAGGTGTACAGAAGAAAATGTACTCTGGCCATCAGCTTGAGCTATTTGCTGCTTTGCCCAGAATTGACCAGCAAAGACCACAAGACTTCCTTTCTTCTAAGGGAATGTTTGGAATATTACATGCAAGGTCTCACACACACACACACACACGGATAAACAACGGGGATCCGGATGAATCTATTCTTCTGATGAGGGTTTGCTACTCTACTATTTATTGCTGAGTTGATAATCACAAGAAGAAGCGCCTACACCTTAACAGCCCTCTTAAAGCACTGAGGAAAAAAAGTAAGTGGTCCCCCGACTCAGAGAAAGCTGATGAAAATAAAGCGAAGGAAGCTGGAAATGAGGCTGCGGCCCCTCGGGGCTGCAGGGGGGCGCATGAGAAATGGGTGAGTTGGACGAGGAAACGTCCACAGCTTCACACCCGATTTGCAGTCACAACAAAAGTCTTACGGTGCAATGTTTTGCATGTAGAGTAAACTGAATTGTGAGTCAACAAACGTGTTCAAATAATGCAGGAGGAAGCCACAAAAACAGCGAGAACAACATCTGCCACATCTACTACGTCTTTGCACTCCACCATGTGTCCTGTGCAGTGATAATAATCGCCTTATGCTTCTGGATTTCAGTACATTCACCAATGAACACTGTGATCACGTATAAAGTGCTTTACACAGACAACAGTAGCTGAATGAAAGGCTTCCGCCGTGTGTTATTTGGTGTTGAGGGGGGGTGAGTTTCCCTCTCAGGCGGCGAAGGGATGATGAGCAGTGCAAACGTGCAGTAACACCAGCCACAGGCTGTGAATGTTTGAGCCACAGGAGTGAATGTTTGAATGTCAAACATTCACTCAGGATAAAAGGGGAAGTTACACAAAGAATAAAGAGAAAACAGTCATTTAGGACACATTGAATCATAGTTATCTAAGTTAGCTTTGGACAAACTTCAGAATGAAATCATTTTATGTCAAAAAGGGGGCAGGAAACCTGACTGTAGAGATGATGTGACGGGAACCGAAAACAACGGTGAATGAAATCGAGGGACTTGCTGAGTCGAGACGGGATCGGCCTTTGAGACAAATGTGTGGCTCCTTTTAAAACTAGCAGGGAGAAGCCTGACAACGAGATCTGACAGGAAGAGAACAAGGTGGCGTCTGTTGGGCCGTGTGGGCGCGATGGAGGATGGAAATGTCGACCATTCCGACACGGATTGAAATATCTCAATTTCCAAAAAGCTCTCGGATGCGACGCTGTGCGATTTATTCCAGATATTCGTGATGTGAATCCTCGTGACTTTGGTGAAGTTTAATTTGATGTTTTGCCAGCGTGCTTTTTAACACTCGGTGCTCCATCTCCAGTTAAAAGGTTGAGAAAACCCAGAAATGACAAGTCTAACAATGTGCTTTTCCTCCCGACAGTTATTATGTCACCCCGAGCAGCGCAAGGCTTTTAAACACACCCACAGATGGTGCATCGCTATTCTGCACCGCATCCACGCTCACGAGAAGCCACGTGTGCCAAACCTCCGACCTCGTGGCCACACGCAGTTCGTCCTCCTCGCTCCGCCTTCTGTTCTCTGATCTTCAGTGTGGGGAGAAGCTGCCAAACGGCTGCAGCAGGCGGCACGAACCACCGAGCTCCTTCGGCCACATATTATGCACTAATTCCGTATTCACACACGCTCTGCAGAAAAAAGCCCAACACTCCCTGTGGATGTTTTGCTTTCAACAAAATTGTGTTTACAATTTTATTCACGGCTAAATACCGTTTCTTTCGTTGGACATCTACCAATATATACAATTTTTAAAAATCAAACATCCCTCTCTAGACCTGTCATCACAAACTATATTTAGCTTTTCAAAAGGTTCAGTGTGTAGTAGATCTCAAAGTGCTTTTCTGGGAGAGCTTCTTTTGGCTTTCAGTCTTCTGCAGCGGACTTGTTTTTCGGGCAGGTTGTGAAAGCAGTATTACTTCTCCTCAACTTGACCTCAGAGGAGAATATCTGTGTGGAAAATGAAACGCTTTGACCCGAGGGTTTATGGTGTTTGGACTGCAGACACACACCTACAGCCTTCCTCCGCCGGCTCTGAAGGAACGTTGTGCTCGTCCATCGACCTTATTAGAAGAAGAAGCAGGGGAGAGAAAGCGTGAGCGCAACGTTAACCTCCAAATTTCTGTTAAAAGGACTTTGCATGTCACACTGAGGATACAAGAGCTCTCCATTGAGGCTTAAAGAGCAAATGGAAAGAATTAGCATCTCCGTGACAGGCATGTTTTTGCTGCGTGTCTCCACAGTCCCATTACTGTGTCCTCCTATTCCCAGCTCCATCCATCTGCCGGACCCCAATGTTTGCATATCTGAGAAGGCCGTGTTCCTATAACAAAGCCTGGACTCACTCTCTCTTCTGTTTCAACCTTTGGCCTATTCATGACAATAACTACTTTGGAGGGCTTGTAAACCATGTTGTTTCTTTACATCAGTCTGATCACATAAGCTAGTCCAAAAAGGAATTTGGAACGTTGACGTCACACATCATGCCATGAAAATATAAAACCTTCTGGGAAACAAATCCTGTCATATTCTGAGCCTTACCTCCACCAGGGCTGCATGCCATCACACACTGCTTAAAAGGATGTAACAGATAAATGAAATGATCCTATGGCACGTTGACCACGCCGATCGGATGTATATGTGGTGCTCGGGCATATTTCTCTCTCTAATCGCCGATAGCAACAACTTGACTTCACTGGCGGCTGTTAAAAAGTCCGCCACACAAGCAAAGCGACGAATGACTTGTCAACGGCATTGGTGAGCACATGAGGGGGACGGTAAAGACCAGAGGGCCAAGGTCACCGGGGGGGGGGGCTCGGCAAACAGCGGCCCGTCCGGCTCTCCGGATTGATCGCGGATCACACGCAGTCTGGTATTGACCCGGCTCAGATGGAGCCCCCCCCCCCACCCCCCCCACCCCTCGGGAGGGGGAAAGAAGAAGAGAGGAGGGAGACGCTTCAACTAACCGGAGCTGCGCAGACTTTCTGCATTATTGATTCGACAGTTAAGAGATTTCCGAGTCGAAGGAGGGCGGCCTCCTGCGCCACTTATAAAACACGCCACCCACTTTTCTCTGCATCAGGGGGGGATGTTTGCACTCCTGAGATGAGAACGCAGCGGGGGGGGGGATAATAACTCCCAACTCTCACTGGTTGCTTCCATCCTCATTACTGGTTGCCCACTGACGCCCCCAAAACCATCAAGGCTGGCAGTCAACTGCTCCTTTTCTGTTCCTGCAGCGAGACCGGGGGGGAACAACACGCCCCAAAAAGAGGCACCTCCGGTGACTCGCTGCAAGTGAACAAAAATGGGCTACCAACCTCGAGAACGTGAGCGCGAGAGGCATGAATTTCTTCATGGAAGAGATGTGATGACTGCAGAGGTGGAACGCTTCTTTCTAACCCAACGCAAGGAGCTGATGCGACCGGTGCTCGCGGTTTTAACGGCCCGTTTGAGAGCCGCGGGTTAGCATGAACACGGCTGGGCCGCTGAGTTGAGGCTTCATTCTCCTTTCTCCTCAGGTTAGCGAGGAAACGCTGCCGTTATGGGAACGCGCGTAGATGACGTGCGTCAAAAAAGAATCCAGCCAAAAACATGACATTTACGTGTAATATAAGCAGTGCGGCATTAAATACCTACATAGAAACACACGACGGATTTATCTTGTGCACGAGTTCCCATACACGATGTTGTTTATTGCATACGGTTCAAACGAACTGGATGAAGAAATAAATCAAGTAAGTGCTTAAGTTCTTCAACTATTCCTCTTTTATTATTGTTTCTTCCACGTGTTAATGCGGTTACAGCTTCCTGCCACAAGGGATGTTGAGAAAAGCCTCGTTTCTGAGAGTTAAAAGCCTTTAAGCCGTTTAAACCTGCTCCTTTACACCTCTAACCTTTATCGCACCTCAGCTGCTTTTCCTCTAGCGTCCATTTATTATCACTTAGACCTGCTTAATTGGACAAAACACTTGTCCACACTAATGCAGTAAAATGCTGCCACTTGCTTCTAAAAAAAAAAATAATTGAAAAAAGGGATGTAATAAATAATTGATTTCATTATCTTATAAAACTATTTTTAAAAATCATTTTTGTCTCAAAACTGAGCGAATAGTCATATAATTGCCGTAGGTTATACATGCACAGGTATACAGTATAACTCTGTTGGCTCGACTTTATGAGGATTTGCTTTGTTCCCGCACAAAAATAGTTTTCACTTTCTTTTTTCATGATTTTGGAAGATACAACTGTGCTACATTCAGCATCAGTGCCGTGCAGCACACAACATGTAGATCTTTGCAGTGCGGCTTCAAAAAAAAAAAATACTGTCTGTCTCATTTCTATCTCTTTTCTGACTTCCTTGTTCCTTCCTTTGCACCCATCGTCCGGTCCGAGGCTCTTCCCAACATCACCAGCCTGTGCGTGATCGTCACGATTTCACTGTGAAATATGCAGAAAAGGAGTTTGCACCACAGCCAAGCGTCATACTAAAAAAAAATATGTATAATGATACGGTTGACTGCTAGTAAAAATAAAAATGTGTTCCCTCATTTAAGTTGAATCCTACGGTAACTTAAAGCGTGACATTAACAGTGCAAACATTGCTACATGTTTTCTGCTTAACATTCTAGTCGCTAAAAAGAAAAAATTAGATAATTCATTTAATTACAAAAATACTAAATCTGTCTAGCGGCTGCTCATTTATACAATAGATTATTTTTCAGTAACCAGCACACGGCGTCGCTGCGCTGTGTCACACGTGAAAAGTCTTGAAATGGAGCCCGGAGCAGAGACGGGGGGGGGGGGTCAGACAGAAAGTATTGCATTTGAAGCAGATAGAAGGACAGAGCGAAAGGTCTGGGAGGGTCCGGGGGGCCGGAGGGGGCGGGGCTGACCCTCTTAACCCCGCTGAGGGGCCTTGGGGTCTTCCTGGTTGCTCTCCAGCAGCTCGTCCTCAGAGAAACTGATGTGGAGGCAGGTGTCGTCCCCCGGCGCGGAGAAGGACTCGGACTCGAAGCGAGCGGCTCTGTCTCTCTCCTCCGCCGGGCTGCCGCTGTTCGCCGTCAAAAATGTCCCGCCGTCCCCAAACGGGTCGTCGTCCTCCTCCTCGCCCCCGTCGTCGCCGCGCGGCGGCGACAGCAGCAGCAGCAGCGACCTGGTCTCGGAGCGGACGCCCGAATCCTCGCTGGCCGAGCAGGAGCTGCTCTCCCCGTTGCTGAGGGAGTGGAAGTCGTCGGACCGCAGCGAGCCCGGGGTGACGTCCGGGAACGAGAGGCCGCCGGGGGTCCCGGCGTTGTTAGCGGCGCCCGTCCCGGGCTTGGCGCCGGCCGTGACCTCCGAGCACAGAGACAGCGCCCTGCTGGCCCGCTTGCGGCTCATGGCGGGCGGAGGGTCGAGTTTGGGGATCATGAACCTGCCGGGGAGAGAACAGAGGACGCCGTTATTAGGGAAGTCTGACGCAGAGGCCTCTGTTCGTGCCGAAACACACGTCCCCCCGTTCACATTCATCCCTCTTCTCTATCAAAGCAGGTGAACGACAATCAGCCCCGTGTTTCCCTCCGCGTCGGTTATTTTACACGCCCGTTGACCTGAAACGCACTGTGACATAAGCCGCCACGAGACGAGATAGAAACCCTCTCGCTCACTGGCTCCCGGCCGCTTCGGCTGTCTGGGGAATTATCTACATCCCCCAGCTGGAAGAGAGGAACGGGGGAGGAAAGGGAGCCAAAGAAAGAGAAGTTGAAGGGGGGGGGCGTAGCTGCAGGCTTTCCTCTCCTCAAACACACCAGAAATAGCTGCACTGCAGTCCCTCTCTTTGTAAAGCAGAAATGCCACAACTGGCACCGGCGCGCTCAAACACACTCGACCAACGGGGTGTTCTGTGAAGACGAACCCTGACACACGCCGGCTAACAAGCTCCGCCTCCTGCACCCGTCCGCGCTGCACTAGCGGCGTCCCCCCCCCGCCGTGACCCGCGGCCGGCGGTTGGGATGAGCTTGTGTGACCTGCCGATGCGTTTACAGCCTCTGGGTGAGTTGAGGTGAGGACAGAGACCGGATGGGATCACCGTGGAGACAATTACCGTCCCACGGCTTCCTCTACCAACTCATGGAGACGTACATGCGCACAGTCTCTACCGACTCCAACGCCACAACCGGAGTATCATCAAATCTGATTATCTCAATCTGTTTCAACATCTTGGATGAAACCTGCTGACTTTCATGATCTCAGTATTCTTCCTTTAAGCTTTTCTTCACACTGTGAAATATGTCAACATCTGCGGAAGGGATTTGTGTCTGTTACAGACATTCATGACTCTCAGAGGATGAACCCTGACTTCCTGTCCCCCGGTGCCACCGTGTGTTTTTGTCTGCAGAAGACTTGAATGAACTACCATGATTTGGCTTATTGTTTCATTGGAAGTAATGGCGTTAGGAAGGTGACAGCGACTGACAGCGTAGACCACTTCGTGCCCTCTAAACACAATCAGACCTCCGGATATGTGCGTTTCTAAGGCGCTCAGCTGGCAGATCGTGGAGATGAATTTGCAGCTGTTTCAAGGCGGCTGGTCATTAGCATGAATGTGACTCAGCACTGCGCTCCACTCACAGTGACACCTCTCTCCGACTCCCCGTCTCTCTCCCTTCATCACTCCCCCTTTGTCTCTCCATTCATATCGCTCTCCTGCACCTCTGTACTTCTGATCCATTTCATTGGGAGATTGAAAGGAACCGACGAGGAAGTCGCTCTTCAGGGTTTTCACATCAAATGCAGAGCGCATTTTCTTTGCGGGGGACGGACGTCGGAGAAATTCGATTACTCGCGGTACAAAAGGATGACTGAAAGTCGAGGCCTGTGGTGTGGCCCCCAGTATTACACATTACTGCTAATGAGGAATATCCGGATGCTTTCTTCTGCTAATCTCAGGCTGGAATAGAAATGAACAAGCAGAGACAGTGCCGTGCACAGTCGGTTATCCATCACAGTGACAAATCACGTCCGTGCTAAGAATCGCTGTGCAGAGACGCAGTTGATAATTTAGTCTGCTCATTTGGTGCGGCGCAATTTATGGAAGCTCATACATCAGAGAATAAGCTCGTTTCGTTTCGGGATTATTTCATTATTGTTTGTTTTCCGTGTTATTACAATTCTGTTCTCATCTGCTGTGCGACTTTGATATCTTTTTTTTTAATCTTTACTCTTATTTTTTTCAGTTTACTGCGAGTGCGTGAGACCTTCGATGCCGCGTGCCCGGATCTCATTAGATCCTCCGGTGCGATTTGGTCGGACACTGATGAGGCAAGCATGCACGAGAGAAAACAAAACACACGCCAATGGCACAACAAAACGCCACGTCGCCACAGTGGGAGCGAGACGTGTGCATCAAGAGGTACTTGTCCTCGTCCTCGACTCTGACACCCTGACTATTCAGGTGGAAGCTCCACTGGCGAGTTAATACCAAGTGCTGACAAGAGCCTTTCTTCTATCCAAGTGTGCCAAGAAAACAAAAAGGTGTATGAAACAGACTGTGGCAGCGTGCAGATGAAAGGTGTAGCCCACCGATTACCCCCGATGCAAATGTGGTCACGTGGACCAGACGGAACTGGTTATTACGGAGACACGATCCGAGAAATCTCTGGTGAGACCTAAACGAGAGCCGGCGAACACCCCCCCCCCCCCCCCCCCCCACAGTTCATCCGCCACATGCCCGACCTCATGCTTGTGCCACAGACACTGGTGTCGCATGCCGGTGGTCATGAGTAATCTCGACAGAGGAGAGAGAGACGGCTCTAGCAGTGAGGCATTAGAATGAGACGGCAAGGAGAGCAGTGTCAGTGGCAGCGAGCTCCCCGGGCGCTGAGGGAGAGGCAGGCTGGTGCAGCAAACGATGAGCGGGACGGAGGGGACGGGGACGGGGGGGGGGCGATGGAGCGTATGAGCGGCGGGTTTAAGGAGGCGGCCTGCTTGTTCGGGGGAATGACGGGCGGTTAGATGAGGAAGAGGAGGAGCAGGGGAGGGTCCTCGCACCTGCACCAAAGAGAGGCAACGGTTAGACTACAGAGGAGCAGGGAGCCACGTGGGGGGGCTCGTGGGAACAGAAGCCCACGCCTCTTAGCGCGTTTGATATCGGCAGTTGGATACTTTAATACTAGAATGCCCATGAGCCTCTGCTGCATTTGCGATTGAGAGGACGCCAGCGTGAGACTCTAATCAGGGTTGCGGAGAATTCAAAATTCAATTCAATTTAAAACTGACCCGGAATCAAACTGTTGCCTTTGCTGCAAATTGTTTTATCATCTTATGTCTCAAGCAGCTGCCGGTTATGGAAAAAGGTTTATTAAGTTAAAAGGGATCCTGCCAGTCAAATAAACTATTTTCCATGTTTCACACAGGCTTATTCTTCTTCTCAGCCAGAAAGAGAAGAGTATTTCAGCAAAATTGTCTTTTGTGCTGCTGATGCCGTTTTCAAGCCCAAAGCAGCCATGAAAGGGCTCCAACTGTGATCCACCATCCATCGAGCAGAGTACCAGAGCACCCGGGAGGAACAGCTCCTCTTCACAACTCTACGTGCGCCGTCTCTTCTTCTCACCGACCCGTTGACACGGAGCTGGAGGAAAAAAGGTCCCTACTTTCCACTACAACGTCACACCACGTCACGGTAACGGACCTTTACGGCAACAATCTTCACTGTGCGCTGTTATTTAACTCGGCAAGTCGCTGTAGTTCCACACCATAATGAATGCAGAGGGGCAAGACATCAATCTCAAAACGTCTATTGTTTGGGAAAGTGTGCAGAGCCGCTGGTACGGAGCTTATTTTAGGAATAGGGGTGTGTGACTAAAATCAATGAACAAATCAATGCAGCAAAGGTGTTGATTAGAAGATAAATCCCCCGTGTTGGCAAAACACATGAGTCATAAGCACAGCATGCAGATATAATTAATCATTAAGCAGGCAATTAGGAGGACAGCACAAGATAATTAATGCTTTATACTTTAATATAAAATAACAAAAGAAAAGCACTGGGTGGAGGCAAATCGAATGAATCCGTGTCTTCCTATTTAGTTTCCCTCTGGACAGAATGTCACCGTGAAAATCATTGACCCTTCAGCGTGTGAGACAGACAGATGACCGAACCCGTAGGAGGTCTAAACTCTGCGAGGGGCCACCGGGGGCCTTTGCGCCCTGCTTTTTGTAAATGAATCGGGAAATGCGGCGACAGTATCGCGCGCCTCTCAACAACGCGCGTTGATAATAATAACCCAGCTGGCAGAGCCGGCTCCACCCAAACGCCTGGAAATATCACCCGTCACATTTCCACCCGCCGCAATTCAATTACCGGCCGCCGAGGCTGCGACACGCGCGGGGGAGATGATGCTGGCGACGAAGAGGGGAAACACAAAAGGATGCAGTGGGAGGAAGAAGATACATACAGTACAAAGAGGGGGGGGGGCAGTGTGTGTGTGTGTGTGTGTGTGTGGGGGTAATAACTAGTAATTAGTAGCGCGGCCCTATAAGCTGCTCTGGATTTGTTCCCACCGCGTGTGGGGACGACGATGTCACGCTGAATATTTATGTTTGCGACATGATGAAAAAAAAAGGATGTGGAGGTTGATGACGCACAACGTTTGCAGATCACACGGCGCGATGTTGTGCCCACAATGTGTATTCCAGGCCTACGATTACATCCTGCTTTGATCCCACTTTGGAACGTTCTTTGCCTCGACGTTAGATATTGTGTGTGTGCGGTACGCCAACGTGCCGCATATGCGCTGATCAAACCGCACTCCAGTCCGTGGGCCAGCTGGACAGCACACGCAGTGTGATGCAAAGCTGAATTGCACTGATAATGTGAAGCGAAATAACCCTGCATGACCAGAGCTGCACCCGAGGGGGAGGTAGGGGGGGGGGGTCATCATAGTCACGGCGGAGACGAGGGAGGACAGACGGTCAGAAGTGTGTCCGTCTGCTCGTAGTAGTACATCAAATAAGGCCACTGGGGCTGTAAACATCGATTCGCTGGGGAAATCCGGAGAACACTAGCGGATGGAAGCAATAAAATGTGCCATATGGTGGGGGAGGACGGGGGAGGGCGGGGGAGGGCAGGTCCACCCGTCTGACTGGGCCACAAGGGATGCCAAGGAGTTTAGTGGGGAAAAGGAAAAATAACACAATGGAGCTAAAAACCAATGTTGGTTGTCTGGCTTAAAAGATGCAGTCGAGTCAAGCAGAGAAAGAATAACATCTAAAAACATTGAATTCTACTTTTCAACAGAGAAAGAAAAACAGTTTTTATGGGACGCAAACTTTTTTTTTTTTGAATTTTCATTATTTTTACAAGCCATTTGTGAATAAACCTTGTGTAAACTTTTATGATTACGGTTTCACAGAAAGATGACGTCACACAGGAGAGGAAGCAAACATGGGCCAATAAAAGAGAGAGGCTTTAGAACACTGAATGCTACTGAATCTCTCTTTAAGCCTTCGGGACAAAACATATCAGTAAAAGTGGAGCTCGGCAGATAACAAACTGAAGTCCGTTGTTACGCAATTACAAATAGGAGGGGGTGGGGTGTTGAGACACTTACAGGTGAACGGATGTTACAATGGAAACGTATTTGTTCCCCGAACGAAAGGTAGTGAAAAGCAAGAAGAGAGCAAAATGGAGGATGAAGATGAGCCAGAGAAGGAAAAAAAAAAGGAAAAGAGGACCGAAGCGTTTGCAGCGTTCGTAAATGTCATATTTTTTCTAACCATGGCTGGTCTTTTGTTATGGTTTGAAGGAGATTAAAAGGCTCATCAAAAAGTAATTAGATGCAGTGGCTCCACACGAGCACTCAAGGTACCGTCTGCGAGCTGCACGCCAGCACATTCAGCCATTAAGTCAGGAAGTACAGCGGGGCGAAGCGAGAAACGAGAAACGGGGGGCTCAAAGGGGGCTCAAAGATCCCTGTTTAGAAAGCAACGCGCCTCCCAAATTCACACGAGCTTCTCGGACTCCTTCTTTCAAGCCCAAACCTGATCTCTTTGTTTGCATGGCCCCAACCGCTCTCCTCCCCGTCTCCTGTAATCCCCCGATTACAGCCTCACTTTCATTAGCCGCAGGCCGTTTCTGCTGAGTCGGGCCGTTCTCCACTAATAACACTGAAGGCTTCATGCTTTGTGTGTCGCTTTGCAGCCGGCCTGCCTCGAGCGCAAAGCGACCGGTACCACAGTAGGAACGCGAATGCACATTGAAGGAATAGTTTTCCGGCAGAGACTTAGATGAGAACATGCCGATGGCACATGGTGTTCGTGCGTATAGATGTGTATACACGTGGATACCAGGTGTGATTGACACTTTTGAAAACGTCCCTGTGACCATCGGGATGAAACGTCAATGGATCCTCTTAGAACATGGGTCTCATGGACGTGGGTCTCATCCACATGAGTGTAAGGGACGCTGTACTCATTGGCGTGGGTCTCATGGACGTGGTTCTCATGCACGTGGTTCTCATGCATGTGGTTCTTATGCATGTGGTTCTCATGCACGTGGTTCTCATGCACGTGGTTCTCATGCACGTGGTTCTCATGTATGTGGGTCTCATGGACGTGGTTCTTATGCATGTGGGTCTCATGGACGTGGTTCTCATGCACGTGGTTCTCATGCATGTGGTTCTCATGCATGTGGTTCTAATGCATGTGGTTCTTATGCATGTGGTTCTCATGCACGTGGTTCTCATGTATGTGGGTCTCATGGACGTGGTTCTTATGCATGTGGGTCTCATGGACGTGGTTCTCATGCATGTGGTTCTCATGCATGTGCTTCTCATGCATGTGGTTCTCATGCACGTGGTTCTCATGTATGTGGGTCTCATGGACGTGGTTCTTATGCATGTGGGTCTCATGGACGTGGTTCTCATGCACGTGGTTCTCATGCATGTGGTTCTTATGCACGTGGTTCTCATGCATGTGGTTCTCATGCACGTGGTTCTCATGCACGTGGTTCTTATGCATGTGGGTCTCATGGACGTGGGTCTAATGGACGTGGTTGGTGGAAAGCAAATGAAAATCAAATTGTGGAACCATTTCCTTAACGTATAACAATGTGACATGTTTTGCTAACCCTTCAAGCCGCCAGTGACCTCATCTATATTTATCTATCAACCTTCGGCAGCCAGTGACTCGCAGTTATTCGGAGGGTCAGAAACAACAAACATTACTAATAGACGTCAGGACAAGCATCTTACTTCTCATCCATGCTGGCGGAGTTCCTCAACGTGAACGGGACGATCTCATTGCACGAGCCCCCCTTGGTGTCCGCCGTCCCATTGGCCCTGACGAAGGGCTCCAGCTCCCGGCCGACCGGCGCGGGCGGGTCGGTTCCGTTCTCCAGGTTGAGCAGGTTGAGGTAGGACTCGGCGCAGTCCGCCTGGGCGGCGGTCTGGCGCGGCCACGCAGGTGTGGAGGTGATGAGCTGGTCCAGGGTCTGGCCGTGGTGATTCTTCAGATTCAGAGACAGGGCCTTTGCCGCCGTGGACGCGGAGCTGCACAGCGACTGTTGACTACCTGCAGGACGCGGAAGACGGATCAACGCGGTGCAACGCAAAGATGCAACCTGCGACCCACATGTCGTAGCCGAGCGGAGGAGTTGCCGCCGCGCCGGCGGGAGCAATTAGCACAGCCATGTCAGAGATTAGCATCTTCTATCAGAGGGACTAACATGATTAATGTAAGCATGGAGCACGAGGTGTCATTTTAAAAAGGTACACACAGTCCACGCGCACACAGGTGAGTCATAACAGAACACACATTCGGCTCTGCCCAAAGTGTGTGTGTGTTCATTATAACTTTGGCGAGACTGACCGTTCGTTCAGCTCCTGTAAATACATCCCATCCACCAAACATCCTCCTTAGGGACAAAGCGCGTGTGTGAATGCTTGTTTTTGTACCAAAATAAAGATAACAAACTCCTACTGAGAACACGATCTGCGAGTGTGAGGTAATGCGGACAGAGTGTGTTTTTTAAATCCATTGTTATTATATAATGTGCTTTTGTGCGTTAGAATATGCTGCTTTACATGTGTGAAAACTCAAACTCAAACCAAAACTGTGGGTGGCTTGTCCCTAATCTTCAGTGCAGACTGAGAGACGTGAAAAACTTATAGGGTGGATTGCCAGACAATTCCGTTACTGCAGTCTTTGATCAATATGTCCTGACCAAATACATGAACAAAATTCCCTGAGTATGATTATGAAAACCATTTAATGAGTGCAGGCAACTCGTTTATAACGTGAATCAACCAGATCTTAATTAACTGTACGAACCTTATTGGAAGACACTTTTGGGAAATGAATATCCTCTAAAAACAAAAGATACAGAAAACATCTTTGAGCACCGACTCGCTCGCTTTCCTGCTCATTCTTCATTGTTAACCACGACGAGTGCTTTTCATCAGTCCTCATTAACCGAGCCACCAGAGCCCCTTTTCATACGGCAATCGAGACATCTGGGGCCTTACAAAGGAAAGCCCTCACTAGAGTCTACAGCAACACCTGGAGAACAAGGCTTTCTAAATATACCGACGTACGCCCGGCCCACTTCTGCCCCGTCGAACGCGACACGGATGACTGCACCCGTGAGCCGGCCCGCAGGGGCAGAGGAGAGCAAGGGTGACCCGACCTGACACCGGTCACTCGCCGCGTCCGTTACCTGGAGGCTCCCGCCGCGGCTGCCCCGGCTGCGTTTTCGGGGAGCGGGCCTCCAGCTCTTTGAGCTGCTGCACCAGCAGGGCCAGATGCTGCAGCAGGTCCCGGTTCTGCAGCAGCAGCTGGTGGACGCGCGCCTGAGCCTCCAGGCGGGCGGCGGTCTCGGCCGCCATCTGATCCTTCAGCAGCTGCACCTGTGGCGCAGCGTGTGTGACATTTCAGTCATATTAAAAAAATCAATAAAAAAATCCACTGAAATGTTAGGTTGTTTATTCTTTTTATGGCAGTGTAATGAGCTGGTGAAGCAAATATGCGTTTGCGCTTCCATTACAGAGTTGGCGCTGCCCCCTAGTGGGCATCAGACAGACAACATGGTGATGATGCTCACGCAGGTTTTTGGGGCTTTATTGTGACAAACTCAACGTGAGGATCCCCTCCGTGTGTCTAAGTTGTGATCTGGACGTGTGATTGACGAGGTAACAGTTTTATTATCCTGAGATGGAATAAATATTGGACTAGAGATCAATAATCTTTCCTAATGAAAAAAGGCTAATAATTCATTCCTGTGAGGACAATACGAGTCCATCAGATGAGCTCAGCTACTTCGGCCTTTGAGCTCCAGCAATTGAAGAAAGAATGCGTGTAAACTGGCTTTCACTGAAAACGATTGAGCCTCAAGTTCAATTAATTCCATATTGATTATTGGGTTCCCCTAAAGAGGAAGTATTGATTTCAGATAAGCGCAAAGACGATGATGAATGTTGACGTAAGTAATGAAAGCACTGAAAGAGAGAATGTAAATCAATGTGCATTTGTAGAACAGATATAATCCACTGTTTTGGTAATCAATTGATTGTTCCACTCAAATAAAGTGGAAAAGTAACAGTAACACATTCGCATTATGATATTTAAAGATGTTTCACACAACCGGCTCCCCTCCTCTCGCCCCGTGTACGGAGGCCTGTTTCTTACCTGCGCGACGGCCACCTGCGTGTGCTGCTGCTGCTGCTGCAGCTGCTGCTGCAGGAGCTGCAGGAAGTGCTGCGACGCCAGCGGAGTGAGGGAGCGAGAGCAAGGGCTGCTGGGAGAAACGCCCTGGGACGTCACGGTGAAGAGGGACCTTCGATCAAAGTCCTGAACACAAGACACGCGGCAAAAAACACATCAGGGTGGGAGGAAAGACTCTGACGCATACTTCTGCTTCCACTTGAATGTGGAAGCTTTTCCCTCCAGATAGCAGGGTGACAAAAATCAGATTCAACGCAAAGTATAACTGCACTGACTCTCTGTGGTAGACAGCGTAGTGTAACTGCATCGTCCCGCCACTAGAGGGCGAAGTAGCACATCGTAAAGTGCAGCATTACGGTTGCTCTGTATATCCTTGGCTAAATAAGCAAGACATTTGAAATGCATTCAAAAGAGGAACGAACATTTTAATTAGGGAACGCGAAAGGCAAGATTAAAGTAAAAACCCACTTTGTGGGTGGGATTTGATTTGATTGTCCCCTGCCAGGCACTTTGAGCAAACACTCCCCAACTCAACTGAGCTCTGCTATTTAGAGCAGCTAAAATAAAAAAATATCATAAATTGGTAATAACTGGAACTTTGGAGCAGCAGTTTACTCAATTTAGAAGCACATATTTAAATCTTAAAAGCTGTGAAATGATGTCTTCAGGGGCTTCATTTAAAGACCGATATTAATTGAATCTTATTTTGTCCACCACTGTGGTACCTGTGTACAATCACCTACACAACCAGCAGCTTGTGTAATATGTGATCGCTCATTATTCCTCCTTCCATCACTCTCTCCTCGCTTATCTCCACAGAGCAGATGTTTCTGAACCCCTCAACGGGATTACGGTGGCGTTTCTCACAAATCAAACGGAACGGACTGGGTGTGTGTGGGGGCGGGCGGGGGGATTAAGTGTCCCCCTTTCACAGCCAGCAGGAATTTTCAGGTTCCCTCACTCCAATCCAACTCTCTCTCTCTCTCTCTCTCTCTCTCTCTTTAGCAGCATGACAACAGCTGTGTCCACCAGTGAAGCATCATGACACACCAACGCCTCCATGTTTGCATCTTTCCCTCCCGTGAGTCAGTCACCAACTCACTTCACGAGCATCTCAAACTAAATCACAGTCCTCGCTGCCTCGCGCGAGCGCGACCGGGTGGTTGCATGCCCGGAGTATCCGCTGCCAACCGCGCCCGGGCGCCGCGTGGTCTTTGCTGTGTGGTCGGGTTGCTGCGTGGAGACGGCGAAGCGCTGCGCCGGGCCTCCCGGGTTCAATGAGCCATTTGGCAGCACCGCGCCTGGAGAGCGCCATCAGAAAGCGTCCCGAGGCCGTGGCAACAAATCACAGCACAATCTCATTTTCCTGTAGCTACAACGACTGGAGCCAAAAACAACAACAACAACAAGCTGCAGCGGGTGTCCGTGGTAACGGAGAACCTTCACCGCACCTGGGGTGAGAAGGCGGTGTCCACGTTTGGAGTTTGTGGATGCGAGGCCGCCCTTACGTTTAGTTGAGACACAGCTTGCAGCGCATTACAAAAACTGCGGAACGCTCAATGATGAAGTGACATCGAAATAGTTGGTAACATCCCATCAATTCAAACTCTTGGTGCTGCCAACTGGGCAGTTTTTGCCACCGGGTTTTACGACCCACTTAGCAACTTATTTTTCAAAGAGGTCCCCTGGCGACCAATCAACGCTTCGTGCTTTCCCTCAAAGGCAGACCCTGATATTCCACAGGGAACGGAGCCAACGCTCACAGCGGCTCTCTGGATTAACGGTTCTCAGTGTAAATCAGAAATGTGAGTCACCCAAAAGTCATTTAAATTATGCCGGACTTCCCGTTAGCAGTCTTGCTGTTACGTTTACTTTGTAAACGTTGGGTTGGAACATCTCCCTCATACATTTCGAATGCAGTAACGGGACGTGACCGACGATATGTGGGCTCGTAGAAAAAGGCTGCAGCATCGGCGTCTTACTATGATGGTCTGTCCCGGTTTGACCACCTTCAGTTCTGCCAGGCTTTGCAGAATTTCCCCCACGGCCCTTTCGCACAGGGAGGTGCCAGCTGAAGGATCTTCGCCCCCTTGTCTTCCTCCGCGTTTGCTGTCCTGCTCCTCCTCCTCCTCCTCCTCCCCTTGCTCCGCCCCCGTCAGCTTACGACCTGCGACGGAAGATGGAAGGACAATAAGCCAAACGCCGCCATTTCCTCTGGTAAAAGGATAACTAAACCTTATAGCAATGCTTCTTTGTGCACATACACAGTAACCCCACATGATCCACTCCGCCCGTCACACAACTGTCGCTCAGAGCGAGACAATTATTCATTCACTGTGCAAATTACAGTAATTACTGGACACATCGGCAATCAACCTCGTGTTAAAGTTGTAATCATCGTCACCCTCCATCCGAAGGGAACCAAGGACGATGCTCCAGATATCACTCGAGCTTGAGGTCGTTTCTACAATATTTTTACGTTGCAGTGTAACCGGACGTCTGTCTTTGTTGCTGTTCCATCGCTTTGCAGAATTAATGAGCTGGTGAGGTTTAATGGCTCCATTTAGGTTACAAAGAGGCGTGTGATTAAATTCAGGTCAAGCTTTAGCCTGGAGAGAGATGGTCCCCTTAGCACCAAAATGACCAATAAATGCTCATAAACATCATTTCCAAGAGTGAAACAACACTCAGACACCAGATGTTGAATATAAAATGTGTGGAATGATCGATACCATTGCTAAGAAACCAGGATGGTTATCTATAAATACCTGATTTCATTATATTAGAATTGAGAGATCCCTGGAATGTGTTTGTTTATTTCAATGCACTTCTCTGTGCAAACAGAGGACCCTGTGAGGCGGAGCTCACCGTCGCTGCTGGACTCCTCGGCGGACTTGTCACTCTCTCCGTCCGCCTGTCCGTCGGCGTCCTGCTCAGCGTGCTGCAGGCTGAGCTTGTGGCACACATCGAAGGCCTGACCCACTGTGCGCACAATGCGCATGGCCTGTGACTGTCAGGCCGCGTGAGGGAGGCAGATGGAAGAGTTTGGGATGGAAAGGTCACTCATTTGTTTGGAATAAACAATCGACAACAAGCATCAAGCGCCACGGCAAGTTATTTCAGCGACGAAATATTGTGTTGTGATCTACGGACGGACTGAAAACATCAACACGCATGTCGTATTTGGTCAAATAAATACTAATAATATCACTTCTGTGGAGGAATTCTCATTACAGCTAAATGATAATACCTAGTCAAGACTGCAGTAACTTAGATGTCTATCTATTCTGTGTTCACTGCAGGCTGTGGATTAAGCCACAGGAAATGAATCTATCCACCGGACATTAAATAAAACAAGAAATGCATTAACTGAGCAGACATAAGCAGGAAATTCATCTTTAAATCAAAGATAAAATGCAAAACGGTAGAAAACACAAAACCTTCCGCTTTTAGATGCATTTTTGTCAAATCTACACGAGTTGAGTCCCACAGGGTTATAAACACTTTTAAGCAAAAGGAGCAATGACAGCAGCAGACGGAGCGGTGAGAGGAATACGTGCACTCAAAGTGCGACGTGCATTACGGCTCCAAGGGCAACTGACGCTGCTGTTATATAAAAAAGGTCTATTCCCCCTCCTTCGACAGTGACAACCCCCCTGCATGATTGGCAGTTCGGTTTTCAGATCGTTACCCGGGGAGCCGGAGGAGGAGAGCTGCGCGTGTCAGGAGATGTGTGCGAGTGGGCTTTTCCTTTACCGTCTTCTTTGACTTGAACACGTTGCATCGGAAGGAATTATTGGAACTGTCTCTTGCAATGTAGCTGAAGATCTTTAAGTCCTGGGAGTCGTGTGACACGTAGAAAATCCTAGAAAACACAACACCGAAACAAAATACACACAGCGTTACAGAAATTGAAATGGAGAAAATCATTTATTTACAGTGACGATCGTTAAATATTGACACCAGGGAGAAATGCAAATATAAATCCAATAAAATAGGGGAATGTTCACGGTGTCATTCTTTGCTCTGGCCAGCAAACACTGCAGTAAGCCGGCAGAGCAAAGAGAGTCCGACTGCAGCCTCACCGCTAGGAAACGACTCCCCTGGGAACCGGCCATAAAAACGATGACCACCATCTACCGACAGCAACTGCTTCATTCCACGAGGAGGCTGCCTCATCAGCTAATTGCTTGTCAAAAAATGATTTACATCTATACATATGTGTATATTTTTAAGAGTTGTTTAAAGGGTGATTGGCTGACGGCCTCCGTCCCCGCGTCAACAGGCCAGGCAGGTAATAGGATGCTGCGGCCCTAAAGAGAAATCTCGTGAAACAAAGCGCACAGATGGTTCCCCGGGTTACGGCGAATATGATCCGCGTGGGATTCCGCCCCTAAGAAAACGACACGCGCAAAAACATACGCTCCACCAAGTACGAGCAGAGGCTATAGATTATTCATAACGATGTGCTTTTAAATGCATTTGCCGCACACAGCACAGCAAATTCAAGCACATGAGTCCTGCATAGGGCAACGATTCATCTATACAGGGTGAGATATCATTTCCACAGAGAGACATAAAGTGTGTGTTATCCACAGAACGCTGGGACAAGAAGATGCAGCCTGGCAACAATAGCAAGGTGTAATATGTGTTTTCCACTCAGCGGGGACGTGTTAAAAAGCTGGTTGCACTGACCTGTAGATGGGATCTTGCATGATCAGCATCTTGCTCTCATCCCACGTCCACTCTTTCCTCTGCGCGGGAGACAGACGAAAGCGTCTCGTATTAAAAAAAGCTTTTCTTTGTCACAGACTTTGCCGGTTCACTTTCTGGGAAAACGGTTTTATCGTTTACCTTCTGCTTCTTCCTCAGCAGCACCTTCACTCCGTCCACAGACACCACGATGTTGACTTTCTTCTTCTTGATGTTCTTGGCCTTGAATTCATACTAAGAAGACCAAAAAAAGAGTTAGATTTTCTGCATTAAATAAGTCAAAATTGAAATATTTTAAGTGATTTCAGCAGACCGTTCAGCTTTAAACTGCACCGTTTCATACCCGTCTTATTCTATTCGAGCTTGATTTTTTCTTAAACAGGATTTTTTAATTTTCTAAACACGACGGCCTCTTTGGTGCTCTTTTAAAGTGTTTTCTGTAGATTGTGTGTTGAATGACTTGTTGCTGGATTGTGTGTGCTGTGTAAATACACCTGCCTCGCCTCACAGTCCTCACCCTGCACACACACACACACACACACACACACACACACACTCTACCTCCTTATCGCAGCAGCCGTTTACGGCCGGCTGCACATTTGGCATGCTCGCAGAATTAAAAGGCGGGAACAATCTGTCATCATTTAAACATGATCGGCGGTGAACTTTACATGAACATCTTAATTAACTTTGCAGTTGACAATAGGAGCACTGGGAGAATAGACAAGCCTACTGAATAAAAAAGAAAAAGAAAAAACTTTGCAGGCACCGGAGTAAAGGTGAAGGACACTCCGATCACAGGGGTAGATTAACTTCACCTTGGCAGTAATCAGTAGCAACATTCAATAGGTCGGCGCACGCTGATTGAGGGTAGGAGCCTTCAACTTTGGCAGTTCTCCCTCATCAATCCTCTGAATTACTCAGGGCGATAGAAAGTGACAAGGAATGATCACGTGGATCATGTAGAGGCTCCACACCGCTGCCTCTCAGGTGGGCCCGTAACAAAGAGCAAACCCGTTAAATCGAACAACGTTTGAGCAAAAAAAAAAAGGGCCCAGGATGTCCGCTGAGTGGAACGCAACATCTGCGTCGGGCGACTCACACGCCTCCACCTCGTCAGCAGGACGGGCCCGTCCGCTCAAATCAGCGTCACCCTTTGAACACGAAGCAGGGTATCATGTGTAGCCGACTACCGGCGGGGGAGGAGAGGGAGGAGGAGGAGGGGGGAGGCTGTCACGCTGCACCGTTTACCGCAAAGAAGGCAGTTGCTTTTTAGAAAAAAAAGCCAAGAAAGCATAAATGTTACTGTCGTATGTGTGCATTGAATATGAGCCCGGAGCCGGATGGTGGCCAGCTTAGCGTAGCACCGAAAAGGCTCAATAATTAAAAGGGCAGGGTGAGTAATCCTGAGGAACCAGCAGGAGTACGCTTTTTAAAAAAAAGTCCCATCTGAAAGAAAACAGCCCAGTGAAAGTAGCTAGAATATGTGTCAAATTATTCAGCAAATGTGAATTCTTCAGGTACAAGAGATATGAGCAGACAAAAGGGGAGGAGGTGAGGAGACAGCTGTTGTTATGTAAGGACACCCTGCTGCAAACTGTGACCTTTACTTCCAGCTGCATGGAGCCCCCGTGGACAAATTAGTGGAACATAATAATAGAAACGATCTCACAGGCACGACTACGGGTCTCGGTCTCAGTCCACGCTGGGACCTTGTTGTCTGAATGAAAGCAAATAAACGCCATGAATTAAAAAGTGGAACTTTTTTTTCTTCTTTTTCTGTCACATCCCTTTCCCACGTTTCCATACATTCCGTATATCGCCACGCGAACGTCTCGCTTGGGTCTGTTTGAAACGCCCCCGCTCTCCTTGCCCTGGATCCGTGGTGATTAAACTTTCAGTCTCTAATTATACAGAACAGAATCCCGAGAGAGCTGCTTTAATGCAGAATGGGTTCAGGGAGGGAGAGGAGGAAATAGTCGGCGCTGGAAGAGGAGGCAAAGTGGCAACGTGTGAGATTAAAAGGAAAAATGTGAAAGCAAAAAGCCGGTGCTGAGCTTCATTCATCTCCACTGCACTATGAACCCTGATATTGAGGTTATTGCGTTTAATTTGGGGCATATTACAAGATGAGGAAATTCAAACAGAAGGAAAAGAGTATCAGGTGTAACTTTCCTTTAACCAGAAAAATGAAACCTTCCCACTACAAAGTCATTGGTGGACTTTTGGTGCATTTTCAGGTATTTTAATGTCACATATTGACCGTAAAAATAATCGTTTTAAATAAAAGAACTTCACAAGCTCTCGTAACTCGTGTTAATTATTGTCTCAACACTACGGAAATAAACGTGTAAAAGTAAAGAAACCCAGATAAAAGACGCAAAGCGCAGCAACAATACCAACAACATCTGTGTCAGAACCTTCCCACTAACACACACACACTCACACACACACACACACACACACACACACACTCACCCACACTCACACACTCACACACTCACACTCACTCACACACTCACACACACACACACACACTCACACACTCACTCACACTCACACGGCTCCTTCATAATTCACAGTTTATGCCGGCATTCTAGTGAAGCAAAATGGGATTTTGCAACTTCATTCAAAGTATGAAATTTTAATATTTTCTTTGCTTAAGTGACGGGTGCTTTGAAATATTCAAGCGTTTAATGCACTTTCATTGTTTTCTTTTCATCAAGAGCAGAACAAACACCTCAAAAGTTTATGACACATTTTCCCCTGAAACCTCGCGTCAAAACTTTCAGAAAAGACATGGAAGTAGACGTTGAGGAATCCCCCCCACACACACACACACACACGATTTGTTAAAAGCTAATACGACTAATACGTGAACAGAACAGGCGCGCACAGGACACGGGCTTTAGGTTCTGGGACGCACACGTCAAAGAGCCGTCTTCAGAACGAGGCCTCCGGCGCTGCAGCCATGTTCCAGCCTTCCGGCACGCGGAGGGAAGAGCACGTTTCCTCACCCGTTATCCGTCTGGATGTGCGCATTAAAAACCCGCCAGACGCATCGGTCTTCCCAGACAGCGGAACAGATTTGAGCCGACGCTCCTCTGCAGTCTATTAGGAGAGTGTCGGGGAGACGGGAGGGAAGGGAACGCGCCTTTGTGCTTTCTTGCAAAGAGTTTGTGTATTTGTACACTGGATATGAAGCTGCGGCCATGCAACAGTTAGCTTAGCATAAAGACACAGCCGTCTTGGATCAGTGCACTTTTTATCACAACTACACAAAGCCAGGCTCCGCCCAGTCTGTGTGATTGATATCGGGCTTCTTATCGACCTCTTGGACTGACAGAGAATACAAGAAATGTTAAACTACTCCTTCGAGTGTGAAGAGTGATGCCTGGTAAGACTCGTGAGGCGGACTTTACCCTCAAACTACTATTCTGCGTATTCAACAGGTACCAGATGGACCCTTACAGACCAGGATCTTATCACCCTTCATGCTGCGAGCGGTGAGGGGGGCTCGAGTGTCGGGGGCAAGCGGTAGAGGACGCTGCAGAGGACACGAGGGACTCCAGTGAGCTCCGACGTTCCCCTCCTCTTTTCTTGGAGGGGAAAAGGTCTCTCAGTCGTTGAGTGGAAGCGTTACGCCGGATGCTGCAGATAAATTGCCTGGCTCCGAAACAGCACCTGTCAGCAGCCACTTAATGAAGCGGCCGCGGATTCCTGCAGTGAATCGCATTTGATTCGTGCTTTAAATGTGACTTCATCGGACTCTTAAGAGAAAAGTTGGATAAGAGGAAATATATCAATTAGTAGGATCTAAATCCTGGAACGAGACGCTATGAGCACCTCCCCCCCCCATCCTGAAAAGCAGCGGAATGTGGGGTGCATTGTGGGTCATTGATGCTCCCTGTAGTACCGCTGAAGCCATACAGGAGTCCACAATAGGCCCTATAGATCGTAACCTAGCAACCCCTTCATTACAATTCCCAGGATTTGGGGAGTTCTAAGGAATTTCCCTGCTTTTTTCACCAGTTCTGTACACAAAGAGATGACTGTTGGGAGCTGAGAAACCCAGCAGCCTTGCAGTTATCTCGGGGGGGGGGGGGGGGGGGGGCTTTTTGGGCTGGAAAAAAATTTGTAATGAAACGTTACTTCATTTTTCAACTCAAATCCATTGTTCCATTGGTCAAACAAAGAATCAGGGCTCTACTCACTGCTGCTCCACTAAGTCTCTCTCCCTGCGGGGGGGATGATGGAGCGACTCCCATGACGCCGCGGAGGCCCAAACCCTCCGTGGCGTGAAGTGTCTCGTCTCATCGTTAGTCAGCAGGGGTGTGATAAGGGAGCAATCACCTCAACAGTTGCCACAGACAACTACCTCGGCTCGGTCCAGGGAGCGGGAGCTTGACGCTCGTGCACGCTCGGCGCCGCGCGAAACGGAGAATAAAGACACAAGAGCGAGACGGACATTTAAAAAAGCTTGCTGGTTGGTGCCTTCGAGAGTGGTTTCCACCTGAGTGCACGTGTTATGGATTGGACTCCTGGGCTCCGGTCGGGTCCTGTGGGAGCGACGGCGCTAACAGGGAACAGCCATCTTGAAGGGGCTGCTTAAGGGGGGCTTCTCCGTGACACCCAGAATTTACCGCCGTAGAATATCTGAGGCCTTTATTTTGAAATAACAAAATAAGAGTTAAAGGATAAGGTTTATTTTGTATTTCAGTGACACCGTTCTGGAGCGATATTTTCTGACACTACAGCGATCATCATGCCCTTCTGTCTCCTGTCAAAGCAAAGATGTTTGTTCTTTTGGAGAGGAACTGGAAATGGGCTCGTCAGAGGAGGAAGCTGTGACGGGGGGGGGGACTCGTCGAGCGAGAATGGACTCACGCCTGAGTGACTCGCTGACAGGCGGAGATAAAGGACAGCCAGTCGCAGTGCTGACGGTGTGTACTCAGAGACAGTCACATGGGAGGCCGAGGAAATACAAAAGGAACGGCCTGAGCAGGCGCTTGCTCTCTATAAGAACACGTGCGATAAGTACTCACATCCGCGCGTGTACTCACAAAGACACTCAAGTAAATTGAACTACTCATAGTCGTAAGGTTGCGATAAATATTACTTAATAACTGACAAAAAAAACAAGTGAACGATGGACGGAGGGCAGAACTACACCTGCAGACACAGAAAACCTCGTCTTAATCTTCTTTAAAGTTCTTGACGATAACAGACAGTGA